TAAACTTAAATAGACATGGATAGTTTATGGTTCATCATGTTATGGGTATCAAGCCATTGTCTAAGCATATAACCCAGACCATCACATTAAGCCATAATATGGTTGATTTATTTAGGCATATCATATATGAATACAGCAGTTATATTTGCTTACCCAGAAAATACCCAAACTGTAACCATAGCTTAATGTAGGTTATCTTACTTTAAACAAAGTTTCCATATCATGTGAGCTTATACTAATGCCTAAGTTACAACTAAGCAGCCTAAGTTCGCCAGGAAAAGAAGATGGGGTTCAGGAGCACCTGTTTGCAGTGTTGCTCCTACAGTGGCACCTGTGTTTTTCATGCTCTTTTTTCAGCCTCTCACTCCCCCTGAATACTTCTGCTAATTGAAGTAACTGGCTGTGCTCAAACATTGCATTAACATAGATTATCTGATTATTGTTTTGCTTGATGTGTGAATCAGACTTTTTGTAATTTATAAACTTGGGTCCATGGCACAACAGTGCAGCAAGAGCTTTGTTCTGAAAACAGACTGGAAACACCTAGTGTTCTCCTACCACTCTCAAGTGATTCTGAGACCTTGGGCAACGATGGGCTTTAAAAATATAATCGTGCAGAAGGAGAAGCAGCAGCAACAATGCACAAAGTTGCAAAGATGTCTGAAAAAAAGGAGGGAGACTAACAAACCATGGCCAGCCAAAATGTGTTGGGTCGTGTTTATTTATTTAGAACATTTATATGACCACCCAACTCAAACAATGTGACTCTAGGCAGCATACAAAATCATTAAAGAGAAAAAAGAAAAATAACACATACCACTAAAGCAAACTAAAGTAATTAAATGACAATCAGATCTAAAATATATTTTATCTCACCAACTGGGAACATTGCTTAACCTGACACGGGGTACGTGCTAGGTGGATGCCTTAAATATGGCTAATGTTAAGCCATACTTAACAGCTCATAGAAACATGCCTGTTGTGCCATGAACCCAAGCTTATAAATTACAAATGTCTGATTCACACATCAAGCAAAACAATAATCAGATAATCTATGTTAATGCAGTGTTTGAGCACAGCCAGTTACTTCGATTAGCAGAAGTATTCAGCTCTGAATTCTCCCATGCTGGAGAAAAAAAATGAAATATTCACCCACCTTCCTCTGGCTTAATGAGGGAAATGAAAACCTCCTGCTAATCAAGCCCAGAATTAATTCCTAAGTAGCAGCCGGAGTAGAGGCCTCAGGGATTTCTGGTGGACTCAGGAATGCTGCAGTTTCATGAAAGTACAGAACATTGTAGAAGATTAGAAGCACTATAATTTCCAGGATGCGTAAGAAGGCATGCCACCAACACCTGACTCTTGCAAATGTTGTGAAGAAGATTCCCACATGCTATTGTGAACATGAGGGGAGGAAGTACCACCCCCTCTCCCAAGTTCTGAATTCCCATCTACAGTGACTCATTTCTTCAGCTGCAGCTATGCATACATAAAACACTGAAGAGTCTTTCTAGTTGAATTTGACCCCAGGTAACTTCAGGGACATGCTCATGCAGTTTTCAAGGCAACAATATGGAAGTGGTTTGCCACTGTCTTCTTCAAGGATGTGGTTTTCAATTTTAATTTTCTAGCCCTTGTATTTCCTCAGGCTGTGTACAATCGAATCATTGCCTATCTAAATGATGTACCCAGCACTATGCTAGGCACCTCTTCTCTAAGATTTCAGCAATCAATACTATCAGCAGCCAGTTTTGGAATAAGGAAGAGGTCACCTCTGCCCATATGACCTGGAAAAAAAAGATCGAACCCTTCTCTCCTGATTGGAACCATCCCAAAGGCAGATGCTAGACATCCTTCAAGGCCAGGCAGATTCTGCCTTCCTGTTTCTCCTAGAAAAATGAAACACTCAAGTTGTTTTTCCTGTTCTGCGAGGTCAAAGCAAAACTCTTGCAGCAAAATACCACCATTATAGAAAGACTCTCCTGATCGTTTCTGAAGACCACAGCAAGAAGCCAAAAAATCCACCAGAAATCTTACAAACTCTCTTTGGAGTTCATCTCCTTAGCATATTCTGAACAAAACCAGGAGCTGCTTGTTTTACTTTGGAACAAATGTTAAAACAACTATATGACCTAGCCCAGAAAAGGGGGAAAGTACCTTTAAAGCAGCTTTTTAAAAAGTAATGATTCATAAAACAGCAGTGGGAAAGCTACCTTGGCTAATATATTTTTCTTTCCCTTTGTTTTACAGGTCAAACAAGGCCAGCTTTGGCTTCTAACTCACAAGTAACACGTTAAGAATTTTTACTACAAAACTGAAGGCATAAGGGGCTTTAATTGCCCTTATTATCAGTGCCTTGATGATCTGTCACACATCCACACTCCTTCTACAGCATTGTCGCCATCACTTGCTGGAGGGAAGCGTCTTCCCTTTCAGCTCCTATGACAATATCCTAACAGGAAAGCAACATTCAAAGGTCACGACTGACTGATTAAAGAGAGAAAAAACCAGCCTTCTTACAATGAGGCCCCCACCCCATTAATACCAAATCAGAGAGCTTTTCTCATTTCTATATGCCTCCTTCTTTAAATATAAGCCCAGTGCTCTTATTCAGCTGCTCTCTACAGAATTCTTTATGTATTGGGGCAATTTATTTGCTGCCTCAATTTTCCAGTTCCATAGAAGAAGTAGGAGCTACTGCTGAAATGCAATCTTCCCAAGGGAAGCTCATCCAGAGACTATTGAAATCTCTGAACTAGACAGACCTGAAACATTCAAACTATTATTTTGGAGGTTTAGCTTGCAAAAGTCTTTCCTGCAGGTCAGCTCAGCTTAATTGCTGCAAATGGACAATCAATTAGTAATCAGGAACTTGCATTCCAAACACCCACCAGAGGACAGGGAACTGAACCCACCCTGCCACAGTGTAGAGAAACAGTTGGAAGCCAGCTTGGCTATTTTAATTTGGGAGAGAACCTGTTGTTGCCCAGAGCACCCACGGGTCAGGAGCTCTTTCTGAAAACAGAACCAAAGTGCTTTCAGCTACTGTGATTCCTGCTCCAGGAATACCTATTTACTTCTACTATACTGTACTTTGTTTGCAAAATAAGCAACATATATTACACAGCCACTTTAACTTTCCATGTGGTATTCAAGGAGTAGCAAACCTAGAAGTGGCACGACTTCTAAAAAGTCTAATACTTAGGAAATAGAGAAAATAATGTAATATTAGCTATATACTCCCCCATAAAGGCAACCCCATTCACTTTTGCATCGGGCAGCAGGACATGAAGACCCTTAGAAGCCTGTCAGTTTGGGGTTCAATGTCATCTAAACACTTCCAATGCTCAAAGGGAACCAAAGCAAAGCCACAAAATAAATGGGATGTTGTGGAAGATACCTGGAGAGAAACAAGCATGTTACAGATTCAGAGTTGTCATGGCAAAGCTGGGCATCGTGCTCAGAGACTGAGAGACAGTGAAACCCCAGTTGGCAAACCAGATGGGCCTGGTTCTCTGTCCATCTCTGCCTATCCTGAACACACCTCCTGGAAAACAGCATACAGTATATTCTTCCTGAAAGGGGCAGCTGGCCTCACTACATCTGCATGTCTACATAAAACAATTATGTTGAAGTGTCTGGGCAACACCAGCACATACATTCCTAAGATGCCTGAGCAAGTGAAAAAGCAACACATTTCTGAGGGGAAAAAACGCACTTTCTTTTGCAACCCATGTCGGTGTGAAGAGTGGAGATGTGGTTTCCTCTTGCCTTCCTCTCCCAGTAATCTGAAACTGAACACTCGTATCCTGGAGAGCAAAGTGCTTATTTTGCCATGTAAATATGGAAAAGAAATTCAGCCAAAACCACTAGCAAAAGCAGATGGAGGTTAATAGAGACACATGTCACACAGGTGTTGCAAAACTGGAAACTTGGCCATAGGAGAATTAACATTATAAATATTGTAGGGAATTCCCTTAATACTCCTGGCAAACTTGTTTCTTTTCTTTCTGGCTAATTGTCAGATTGTCCACAATTGTTCTCTCAACTGCCATAAAATTGCCTGCAGTGGAGAATCTTCTCTCTCTGTCCCAGCTAAAAACATGCAGGTCTCATCACTGAGACTGACAGCCCTTTGCATTATAAGAATCTTCACAGCGGCGCTAATTTCTCTGGAAAGCTGTGATAAAGGGACAGTGGATTTGCCAGTCCCCTCGGAAAGTTAAAATATGCCTCTGTTCTGCTTAACCTGCCTATTAATAAATTCAAGCGTCAGAAAACGCTGTCGGCCTTCGTCAACTTCCTTCCAAAGGAAGCCAAACCTGAGCAAGAACTGTACCCGGGAAAGTGAAAGGTGGGTGAAGAGAACTCCAGGTCCCCCCCATGACGAATTTCCTTGACCCAGCAGGTCAACGAGGAGAGTTGCCAAGCTGAGGATGAAGTGGCAGAACAATGCCTATGAAAACAGCGGACTTTACCGAGACCTCAAGAAATTAAAAAGGGCTTTCACCTCGTCCTTTGATTGTATTTGCAGCGGGTGGCGCAGTCTGCTGAATACCCTGATGCACAGCAGGAGTAGGCAGCGGGAGGAACAGCGCCTTTCCGCCGCAACAGCTAAAGAAAAGCACTCGACACATGTTCAGAGTCCCCGCACCTACAGGCTGAAAACAAGAGCCGTAATGGAATCCATTCGGCTTTGAGGAAGACGGAACACGAAAAAGGCTGCAACTAACCCAAAGGCGCGCCGCTTTTGCAGACTCGGCGACAAGGCGCCCTGCCCCAGTTTTGGCGCGGCCGGCGAAGAACCCTCTCGCGGGGTAAGACCCCCTTCCCAAGTGCCGCTCCTGATCCATAGCGCTCTGCACGTGTTCAGGAGCGTCTCGCCACCCTCGTCGCCGCCCTTCACCCTTTCGGCAACGTCTCGGCTACCACGCTGCAGCTCCGCGAGGCGGCGACGGGGCACGTGCGAGGGAACAAGGAGCCGCGCCGCAGAAGCTCACCTGGGCGCGGCGGCGGGTCGGTAGCCATCGCCTCTTATGCTGTCCAGCGTAGCGCCGCCGCGTTCGCC